CACTAAGGATGTCTGTCTGCAGCTTAGGTCTGCTCCCCGCTGGCAAGTGGACATCCCCTGAGGGCTGTTGGGCTGCCAGAGGAATGTCTGATTGCCATCTTAGGCCCAATCCCCCGGGGAGCAGGCCTAAGCCAGCAAGTGGTCACTCCCGAGGGGCCCCAGACTACGAGGGGGCACAGGACAGGCTGAGGGACCCCTCCTCCCCTCTGAGTGCATAAATTTTTGTGCACTGGGCCTCTAGTATAATATATATATATTTTTTTTTTAAAGGAAAGAAAAGCCCAAGGGACATATGGAGAACTGAATTGTCTGGCTTCAGGGCAAAGGCTGGAGGGGCAGCTTTCTCCCAGAAGTGCTGTAGAGCCCACTGTTACTTTTCTGAGCTCTCCCCCTGCAGGCACCATATCTGAGTCTCCATCAACCTGGCTAACACTGTTCACCCAGTTCTGGTGGTTCCCTGAGAACTCCATTCCCACCCAACTAGGGTCCACCCACGCCATTTCCAGTGGCTTTTCCATACAAATTGCCCATCTTGGGTTATGCTGCAGAGTTTCCTAAAATCTCTCAAAAGTTCACAAACCCCAAACTAGTAGCATCAGCGTGCCCTGTACATCTTGCTAAGTAGCCCCAAGCTTCAGTTCATGGCACAGCTTCTCCCAGATGTTACCAAGTCCAGCACAAATGGCAACCATTTGCAAATTACTTTGAAGTTCATACCAGGTAGCCCCAGGCAGAACAAAGGCAGCTGTTGACCTTGGCTTGCACCAGAGCCTCCCCAAAATGCCCCAAAACCAACACACCCAGTAGCCAGCTTCAGACCACTCCAGAGCACCACCCAACCACTTCCACAAAGGACACATCCAAAGAGCAGACTTGCCAGGCATCAGAGCCCTACTAAAGCAAAACCAACTCTGTGAGGTCAGCCACTGCACAACAGCTGTTCTGCTATAGTCATGGCCAGTCCTTACAACTAATCAGTCTGAGTGTCAATCCCTCCCACTGACATACTAACAGCAATAAAGACTCAACTACAACAGGAGGGCACCCATAACCCACACAAGGGACAAACCTGGAGCACCCTGCTCAGATGACCAGGGAGACTGTGCCACTGGGCCCCACTACATAAGGCCACTCTACCAAGACCAGGAGATATAGCAGCTCTACATAATACATAGGAACAAAAACAGGGAGGTAGCTAAAATGAGAAGACTAATATGTCCCAAATAAAAGAATAGGACAAAACTCCAGAAAAAGAACTAAATAAAATGGAGACAAACAATCTATCAGATGCAGAGTTCAAAACACTGGTTATAAGGTTGCTCACT